TTTAAGCGGGGGAACCTCTGTGGGTTATACGTAGTGAGTGGTATCTTCTAAAATAATGTGTATAGTGCCTAAAATGGATTGGGAAATCATAGAACAATGAATTCAATTCCAAAAGCTGCTGTTTCTTTTAAGCCTCAAGGGTAAACAGACCTTTAATTTGCTCACTATGTAGCAGCAGCAGTCATGCTGTCACACTGTGTCGTGATTTTTTTTTTTTTTTTTTCCTTCCTGGATTTATTGTTACAGAGGCTACAGTCTGGAAGAACTGGAGAAACACATCTCTCTGCTCCATGAGTATAATGATATTAAAGATGCTGGACAGATGCTGTTAGGCAAGCTGGGTAAGGAAGGAGATGAACAGCTTCTTAGTAAATTTTTTCATCTAGATAGAAAGAGAAGCTGCTACGCTGTGAAGGCGTAGCTTATTTTAAAGATTCTGCAATTCTAGGCTTCTTACTAAAATCACTTGTGCAAGCACAAATGATTCTGTCATTATTTCTTTGGAATCTTTTGGGAACTGGACATATCCTGAGCAGCATATGAAATAATTGACACTTGCAGGTGTTTTATTATGTGTTACGGGTTATCAAAATTTGATAAACCTTATTACTTTCTTTTACCATTTCTTCACATGTTTAAAAAAATGGGGCAAGCAGGAGGCATAGCTACAGAATTTTTGATTGTTTTCTTAGCTATGGGAGGTTCTAGGATAGTTAGGGGGTTAGTGAAAGCAAAATGCAACTCTTGTGGCTAACCTACTGTTCGTTTAATGAAAGTAATGGTGTGTGTTTCTTTTCTAGCTGTTATTCGAGGGGTTACCACAAAGCAGCTATACCCTGAATATGATCTGGAGCTTAGCGACTAGTATTGAACCTGAAGACTACAGTGTCCTGCAAAGATGCCTATTACTGGGCCGTTGGGTTTTGGTGTCATACCTATTTAAAAATGATAAAAGGTGGCCTTGGAAGTGTGTAGCCTTTCAAGAAAGCATATGTTAACAGCCTTTTTTCTAAGAAGCTTTGGAACATGAAAGTTATCATCCGTTTCCTGTTTGTGGAAAACGGACGTTGGGGATGTGGGATTTTGTATAATTTCAATTCGTCTACTTCCTGATCAACACGTTTTTTGTTTTTTTTTCCATAGGAAGGGTTATAATTCAAGGTTGATGCTGAGTCTCTTCCCATTGAGCTTTTACTTCTCTAGAGCATCATGAGACTATTTGGATATGCTAATCTGCAGGTGGAAGCAGCTTTTAATGAATGGATAGAGGAAATGAGGGTAGAAGAATATACAATGTAATAGCTGCTTGAAAAGAAAACCCCTCAAAAGTAGGGAGGGAAGAAGGTTGGAAGTGTGTGGGGGAGTTTTGTTTGTCTGTGGTTTTTTTTGTTTTGTTTTTATGACCAAATTTGGGAAGTTTGGTTTCTCTGCATTTTTGTACCTCTCTGATCTAGTATCTAGAGATTTTGCATCACTTCTGTAGTAAATAGCAAAATGTGAAGTTGTATTAAATTGTCTAGTCTGAATAAAGCAGCTATCACGTTTCTCAGCAATTCCCTTTAAGAGCCTATAAAAAAACCTGGGAACAAATCCTTAAAACTATATTCTGAGACAACTGTAACATCTATTATTCAGATGCTTTTCTGAGGACTCTTAATGGAGACAACGTAGCAGCACTGATATCAGTCACGGGTAGGTGGAGAATTACTTTTGCTTATTTCTAAGTGCAGAGTCACTGTGAAAGCGAGCGGTGTCCTAGTCACAAAATTGTTGAGAGCATTAATGTTTCCGTGTCAGGTGTTAGGAATGAGGGTGACTGTACAACCTAAATTTGGCTACTTTGTGCAGCTCTGTATGATAAAGTGCTGTAACGACTGCATGTCTGTTGTCCCTCCTTCACTCAAGCTTGATGTCCTTCTACCTATTCCTACTTCTAAGGCCTTCCTGTCAAGTTAGTTTCCCCCTTGTCTCCAGTCAGGCCTGTGTTGCAGTCTGCTTTTTACATCCAAATTCAGATCAAATCAATCTCTCTTCATAGTGTTTGGAGATCAGAAAAGTCACAAAGGCGGCTGCTAGGAAAAGAGAATTACTTTGTGCTCTCAGTTCTGGGGCTGGCACAGAAGCATCACTAGTAAGTATCTTATTTTGGGGAGAGGGGCTAAAGCAGGGAGACAAAGTCTGCATGTTCTGTGATGCATTCAAGCAAGCCTCTGCTGATGTGCACCCATGCTTCTCTGAAGGGTATTTACTGTGGCCACGTAAGAATGGACTCTCATGGGGATGCTTGCAGGTATACCCTTCCCATTATAATCCCCTCTTGCCGAGTCTAGAAAGCTCCTGTGTTTTTTGGAATAGCTTTAAGGAGAAAAAAAAAATCACAAGAATGCTAAAACTGAAAAATGCCAGCTTTGTTCTCAAAACCCACATTGTTGTTTTGGCTGACATTTTTTTTTTTATGCAAAAGAGTTGGTTTAGCCTGGAACATTCCAAACCAAAATGTTAACTTAGCAATAGCACAAGCAACTGAAAATGTTTTTTGCAAGGAAAAGTATGTACAGAAATTCCTTGACTTTGTTAGGTGTGAGCCTTGTGGTGGGAAGCATATTCCACTACCAAAGTTATTTAAGGTGTTGGAAATTAAGGAAAGGACTGAGAAGTCTCCTCTTCCTGCTCTTGTAGGAACATTAGGGTTAACATTTGCAGCTGTAGCCATGCAAGTGTTCTGCACAGCTCTCATTTCACGCTTCTGCAATGACTGGTTTACCCTCTGGTTAGCACAAGACAACTGTCCATGGAAGGTGTCCTGATCTTGGTCCCTTGTCCTCAGAGGAGGAATGCACAGAAAACCAGCCAGCTGAAGTAAGAGCAACTGCCCCTTGGCAAGTCTCTGTGGCTCTGTAGCTGGCACGATAATGTGCCACGTGGCAGCAGCTATGCTCCACTGCTGCTTTGGCTGCTCTTTACACTACAGTGCAAGGAGACCTGGAACAACTGAAAAATTCCAGGGCTGAAGTTAATGACTTCTCACATGCTTCAGGACAGGGCTGGAACCTACCGCTTAAGGTAATTCCTTCATCACAGTCCCCTTACTGCTCTTCCCAGAGTCACTTCTCTTACCTTAATGGCTCTGGAGGAAAAAAATATGCTTGCCTTTGCCCAAATCCGGAAGAGGAATGGGTCAAATCTCTTCTTACTGCTAGGAGTTCTCTATGTATTAGATCTTCAGGCTCTCTAGGTAAAATATATAGCTGCAAAAATAGCGAGTGTAATAATAGCGAGTATACCTTCAGATTATAATTTAGATTTAGAAAGAGCATGTTCACTCTGTTAAGTCTTTTTGTTAAGTCTGATCCATATATAAGAAGCTAATAGAGAACAGGCTGTATCACAGTTTTTTGCTGAAGGGTAGAACTCACAAGACAACGTCTGCATGCAGCTGCAAGATACTACAGACCCCCTAAACAACTTTGGTTCCTCAGCCAAAAAACAAAATCAAATAAGCAGCATGCACTCTTTTGAGTCAATGTACTCTTCTACAAGCACTGAGCCAAGAGAGAGCCTCTTTCCCCTTACGTCACTTTTAGTTCTGTTTTATTTCTTCTGTTTTCATCTTATGCATCAGTCCCCCTATCACAAGCTTGTTCCACCTGCCTACTTTGGATATGAACGTTTCCTCTAGTTACTTTAAGTGAGCTGTGTTTTCTCCTGCACATCCCTCTCTCAATTTGGTTGATTTTGAGCTCCTGTGTGCCTGAAAGTTAGGCTAACACAGAGAAAATACTGTGCCACAATAACACAGGGAAAATTCATGCAGTAGTTAAGTTACACTGCTAGCTGCAAGGAACAAACAACTCTGCAATAAAGGGAATGCAGCTCTGTAAGACACTATTTCCTGCTGCTAAAAAATTTGGAGAGGGGTTTTTACATCCCTTAGCAACCTGCTGTTCCCAAAGTCAACAGGAATGTTGGCACAGCAACTCCTGTTAATGAACTGTTTGCAATGCTTTAAAAAAAATTTTACAGCCTGTCAATGAAAAAAAACACCTCTCTGATTAAAGTCATCTCAAGGAAAGGGTGGAAGTGAACTGCAATTAACCTCTTTCCTTCTGCTGTCCATCATTCTGTCAGCATGTGGCTATGTTATTGTGTTACGGAGATCACTTGTGGATGTTCCCTCCATAGCATACGCTCAGCTGTCTGCAGCCTGGGCCATCTCGGTGTCTGTCTTATGAAGAACACTTTTATCTCGAGGACCTAGTGTTTTCTCTATCTCTGTTTTCACTTTAAGCTGACAGTCCCAAATTGCATTCTGGATGCTCTGCAGGTTCCACTGTGTTCTCAGGAGAGCATCATCCAGTGTGAAAACACCGTCACGAATTCTTCGCACTTGTGTGCACACTGCAGATGATTTCAGCTCCAGACCAATCTCATGAACTATTTTTCGGAGGTACTGCTGAGTCTCATGCAAACAATGGATTTCTAGAAGGACAGAGAGATTCTTTCAGAAGAAGCAAAGCATTCACACAAACCCGGACCTGGTCTGTAAATCCAGACATCACTTACAGGACACGGTTCTACTGAACTAGTCCTTTCAGCATAAGGGACTATTTAGCATACAGCACAGGTAAGTCATGATTTTCTGGAATACTGCAGAATGTCCCACCAAAAGTAAATATTTTCTAAAACAAACCCATAGATACAGGAGAGCAAGAGAGCGATTTAGGTATTTCAAAGTGGATAAAAACAGGTACCTTATTAAATAAGTCAAATAATTTGTAAGGAGTAGGAGATTGACTCCAGAAAAGCAAGCTGAGCCTAAGCCCTGAACATTACACTAAAATATGAGGATAAGGAAGAATTCTCCTCCATAGTTATTCACTACGAAAGACTTCTTACATCCTTCTAAGTGAGCTGGAAGTGGCAGAAAAAAAGATGGCGAGCTAGGTGCATAGCTGGTTTGATTCACTATAGCAACTTCAGTGCTGCAAAGGTTCCAAACGTTGCCCTACCAAAAAGTCTTTACCCTGAACGAAAAAGTTCATCTAGCAAGGATTCTTCTTTGCTCTCAGTAACTATAAATCATGGATCTCTCTGCAGGGATTATCAGCTACCAGTCGATACAAAGTTCTCACCAACCGATTCTGCATAAGTCATTAGTAAGAAACTGAAGTTCATCAATAATTTGTCATAGTAAGTGCTCAGACTGCCCTCATACATGTTGCACCAGTCCTACCTAGCTGGAATTCAGGAAGAGTAAACTGGAGGCATCGAATTACTGTGATTATTGGAGGACTTTTTCCCATGGGGCGAATTAACCCTTTGACAGCCAGCTCATATGCCTCTTGAGTTTTCATATCAATGTTAGAATGCCTGGAAAAAGAAAAAAGGAGCAAAGCAGACGTTTAGTACACATCTCCAATTAGATTAAAAATATCTCCACTCACAATAAAGCAGAGCTGCAATTTATATTCTTAAAACTGCCTATGTGTTCAGTTAAATTTTGCACACATTTTAATGCTATCAAATATGTAAGATAAGCCAGTAAGATAGCAGAGTTTGGAAGGGAGGTACTTGGTCATGTCTACAAAAAAAAAAAAAAAAAAATGTAGGCCCTAATGTAGCTAATAGCTCCAAACGTAACTGGAGATTCAGAACACAATAGACTTTTTAATTGCATCTTTTCACCAGAGTACAGAGCACTTAAAGTAACTTCTCTCTGCTCCTGTCCAGGACTCCAGCCTTTAAATGCTCTGTTTCTGGCATAGAAAATCATCTCTTTGGTTTTAAAAGAGTAGCCAAGATGGGTCAGGTCAGGTCAGCTGCATTTCCCGATTGGATACGTACATCAATAGGGCCTTATGATTTGTTCCTTGAATGACAGCGAGAATCCGTTCCAGCTTTTCCCTTGTGATATGATCTGCAAATATTAAGGTAAAAACAAGTTCTCAATTACCCATCCAGAAACTGGAAAGAGACAGAAGCCTGAAATGTGCCATCAGGGTATTACTATCTCTTTGGCAGGCAGTTACGTCTAAATAGGCTGATGAGAACCTCGGAAAGGTGGTTTCAATTGAGGAGAGTCATTTCTACTCACTGTATCATGCCAATACACAAAGTAGCATAACCTTGGACTACAAAAGGAAGAATCTTGTTTTTTCAATTGAATTCAAGATGTTGGCTCCAATTTCTCCTATCAGGTGTTTGGAAAATTTAATTCAGTGAAAGCTTCTATCCGCTATCTCTAGATACTGTTTACATGGAGATCCGGGTCCCACCCATTCCAGTAGCAACCACTGTAATCGGGACTCACGTTGGCTTTGTGTACGGCAGCTGTATTTAGCACAGCTGGACTAACAGGGCTGCACGCGTGAATAAAGATTAGAAAGCATTCAGGGCATACCTTTTATCATGCAGTTTACCTGATGACATGTTTTGCTCTTAGTTGGAATGCAACTTGTTTCGTGTTCTGTGTTTTTTTTTTAAACACACCAGTTCAGTTTCTTACCAAATGTTGTCTTCTCTACTAGCTTCCCTGTATCTGAGAAGTCATCTGTGGCCTTACCAAACAGCCCACCAACGGTGTAAACCTTCAAGAGGAAAGAGAGCGCAATTTATGGAAGAAAGACTGCAAGCAATTGAGTAGTGACATTCTACCGTGCAGCTGCTAGAAAACGCAGGCTATGATGATGTCGCACTAAGAGAGCAGCATACTGTGGACATCGGGCTGGGTCTAGATGCTCACGTGAAGGATGAAATACTGGACCCAGAAGAGCTCTCAAAAAGGCTGGTGGGTTTGAGGCTCAGAAATAGAATCTCAGTCAACTTTGTGACAGCAACGCAACCTCTTCCTCCCTGAAGCAGCTCCTTGAGGATCCTGCAGTCTCATCTGAGGATTTTTAAGACGTACCATCGCTGCATAGAAAGCAAACTCCCCGGCCTCTAAAGGAACGTTTACCGTCACTCGTTCTCAGTGTTTGCCCCTGCCACGCGCGTTAGTAACTCACGTTTACCTCCTCTTTGCTGCTACTGTTTCTAACACGGACAGTTTGGGGCAGCGAGGCAGGACTCAAGCAGGACACTGCCCGCCGACCTTCTGAGCCCGCTCAGAGCCATCACGTACCTTAGTCAGATGGCAGTTGTACAGATCAGTGAGCAGCTTGTTCCCGTGGCCTATGCCAAGCACTGAAACACAAGAGACAGCGGAAACCGTCGCACGTCACTTCTGCGGAAGCACCGATGCAGCGCCGCACACCTATGGCACTTCCCTTCCCCCCCTCCCATGGACGGAGGGGACAAACCTCTGCCTGAGAAACGCCGTCAGACCCCCACCCCGCGGCCGGACTTCGCTTTGTCCAGGACTTTGCACCCGGGGACCACAAGGCAACGAGCTCAGCAACGCC